GCTGTGCAGTTCATGGATATGACGATGGTTTTCACTTCAGTTTTCACTTCAGTTCAGTGACAAGCTTGCAGGTATCATCATACCTGCAAGCTTTCAATTCTGCTACATTACTCGATTTCCAGGTCTTTAGAATCATGGCTATAACAATGTATGCCAAAAATCCCTCCTTACAGTAGCGCGTGACCAATTTGCGATTTGAAGGTTGATGCAGGTGATGTTTAAGCGGATATAATAGTCCATATGACCCCACAAGTGCATTTCTTTTCAGGCTGGAAAATGACAAAGAGGGTTCATGTCTGTGAAAGTGTTTGCCTTCAGAAAATAAAGAGCATTAGTCTGGTTTACAGCTTTACTGCGCCCTTCACATAGTGTTTAGTGGTTGAAGATGGCTCAGGTAAGGTGTAAATGACATTACCAAATCAGTTACATTTCATTACAGTGTTTAAAGACATTAAGCCTGAATTAGCTAGAGTCTACATGTTTTCAATAAGTATTGTTTCTGGTGCTTTGATGGACCATCTTTTGGTTTTCTTAGGCTAATGTCTGCAGAGACCTCTTGTTTTGTGACTCTAAATCATTCATTATTCCTCACGCTGCTGCATGAAGCTCAGCAGCACAGAAAAGATGTATCGGATTTGAGTCGGTCAGACCCTTTTTTTTAACAGGGCCTCTCTTCTCGACAGTCAGCTGTAAGAAGCACGAGGATCAAAGCAGGAGAAGCACTGGAACACGAATGAGTATAGACTCTGTAGAAAGCCAATGACGTCTAAGAATAAGCTTATCTGTCATTTTCACACATCATCCTGCAGTGTTGAAAATGAAATCTGTCACTTGGCTGAAACAACCAGTTCATTAACCTGTAAAAAAAAAAAACGTTGGTGCTTAGTGTATATCATTAGCATTAAGCTCATATCCTGAGGGAGGCTTGGCTGTTTGTTTGCTGTGGGCTTAATATTCATGCTCATCCTGTCGAATAAACAGGCTTGGATTATCCAAAGACAACTGCTCGAGAAGCAACCTCAAACTGATCCACTGAGAAGCCCTGTTCATCAGGAGCATTACACGGCTCTAGATGGTAGATGTACAAAGATATACGCCATCTGATCAGCACTGAAGATCTGTTCATTCATTCTGAAAAAAAAGTTGAAATTCCCACAAATTAAAAAAAGTAGCTGAATTATTTATGGAACCAATTTGAGGTTAATTATGTCAGTCAGATGAATTATTTATATCCTTGACATTTCAACATGTATATTTTAGATATATAATATTATGAATCTGGTAGAAGTTTGCCCAAATATTATTTTAGAAAGTCTTCCTCTTTTGCTTACTAGAACGTTGCATTGCCTATAAAAAATAAAAAAAACTATTGTTAATAGTAATTTTGAAATAAAATTTAAAAAAGGTATGTTTTCCTTCAGTCAAGTTAGTAATTTGTTAAAGTCTTCCAATTTGGAAAGGCAAATTGAACAGGCGGAGGCCTATTTTTGATGTTGTAACAGTAGAGCTTTCAGTCCATGCAGTTAAAAAGCAGTCAGAAATAGCCTGAATAGTCAGATTCAGCTCTTTCGTACTCAATCCATCCCCTTTGTGTGGATATGTGCAACTCAATGAGTGTAAGACAGAGTTGCTGAAACAGAGCATAGAAAAAAATCTGCTACCTAACATACTAGATGAACAGTGTCAGTGTCAGACAGCAGGCATTGTCTTTCTGAATATCCTCTTCTGAATATTTTTTTCTTAACATGCAACAAAAAAACAACCAGGCTGAGCACGAAAGATCCGGTCAAAAATAGGGTTACTGGAAGTAATAAAACCAGCTGACGTCCATTTCTGTTCCTCTCCAACCATGCGTTAATAATGGAAAATCTGTCATTTCAAATATTCCAATTGATTGTTGTTGGCTATTTTATTTATTTTTATTTTTTATTCATTTTTTTTCTTCCCACATCACCCCTCAGTTTGCTGCTCTTCCCCCCATGTAGATCACTTCTGTCCTCTAGTGGAAGAGCATAGAAAGGATGCAAATACAACCACGCTGAGAGTTTTTACCAATTAATGTTCTTTTTCTTCCCACATTTGTATACATTTGTTTTGTTTTTTCAAATGTTGTGGTCTGTAGCCATGGAACATGTATGCCCTCTATGACCCTTTTCATACATATAGGTGGATATTAATCTAGCCAATGCTCCATCATTATAGGCCTACAATTAGTGCATCCATACATCAAGCATGGTTAGCCCCTACGGGAATACAGAGCTGCCACGCAGCTGTGCTCTGAACAAGACTGACATTTTTAATTCGTGTGACTAAACGGGTGAAACAATGTACTCTGTAGGATTAGGCATTTTGTTTCTGACACGTTTTCCACTTCATTAACACACTGCAAACAAACTAAAGCGTACTGCAGTTAACTCATTTGGTGTTCATGCTCAAAGACACTTTGACATGCAGACAGTAGGAGCCCGGGATCACACCGCCAACCTCGTGGTTAAATGATGACATGCTCTACCAACTGAGCTACAGCTGCCACAGGCATGCTACAAAAGGTCAGTCTGTGAGCATGCATGATACCGTGGTAGGATAGCGGGTGTTGGTGAGAAAGCTTCAGTAAGCTATTGTGACAGTATTGATTGTCACACTATGGTTGACGTCCAACGTTACATGTCTTGATCATTTCCTTTTAGTATAGATGGGTAACTTAAGTAGATTAATGTGAAAACTGTAAATTGTGGCAAATAATGTGTGCAAGTAGAACGGTTTTGGGATACAGCTAGGTTTCAACAAAGTGTTATCCTGATGTCTTGCTTTACTAAATCATTTCTATAACTGCATTCAAATAAAACACCCAGCAGATGGACTGTTTCTGGCAGAAGAACTGAACGCATCTTAGTTCAAGTTTTTAGTGTTCTGCTTGTCTTTAACTGCATATCATTTGAATATTCAGCACCATCTGTTTTAACCTCCTCTCTGTATATATATATATGCTTGTCTGTCTCTCTGCCCAGCTGATTGACTTCATAAACCCGATTCAACTTGAATCATTCAAGGTACATTTTGCTTAATCTAATCAACAATTATGTATGGGTCAGCGTTGATGCTGATATGTAATTACATTTAGTAAAATCGGCAAAAGTAAACTTTTAAAAGTTGAACTTCCTTAATGTACCTCAAGTTTATAATGTTTCGTTTTTCTCAGTGTTTAGTGTCTGTGGAGCAACACCTATCCAGAGCCTCAGGAGGCCACTGTTGAGTGATTCCGGGAGCAGCTGTGTCCTTTTGTGAAGGAATCTGTATCTGTTAAGGATAAATTAAATATAGATATCAACAGTTGTTTTTGATTTATTTACTGATTGATGTCTCTGGGGATATTCCGGTGGGATGGAGACATTCTTTGTGCCACCGTTGCACAGAGTGAGAGCCAAAGGCATGAAAATGCATACATATGTGGACATATAGTACTTTATATGATATATACAGTGTTGTTCCTTTCCTATTACAGAATTGATTACATTAAAGTAAATCATCCTACTTTCATTTTTTCATTTTTTTATCCTTTTAAAAAAATTCTGTCAAACAAAGAACTTCTTTAATCTTGAGTTTTTAATCACTGCCACCCAAAATACACTCTCGAAAAAATTTGATTTAGGGTTTAAAATGCCATCCAAAAAAAAGCATGCACAGCAAAGATCTATTTAAATGATATTGAAAGAATATATTATATGCCATGGGACACTAAATCTAAAAGTTGCAGAGGCTTTCCAACCCTGGAAGGAAAAAATAAAGTTGTTGGGAGAATTTAGAACATTTTGTCATGATATATTCTTCACATATAAAGATAGCAAATGTCAACACAAAATATATCTGCAACTTCTGTCTACACTACCAGCCCTCCAGAACCCACATCACTACTCCACATCCCTCTCTCTCATTCTGCTTTGTCAGCAATGGAGGCGGGAAGCACACAGCTCTCGCATTTCTCATTTCTCAAACAGAGAAATACCATCCCACAGTATGCAAACTAAATGAATTAAATACTTCAGCATACAGGGAATGCAAAGTCAAAAATACAAATCCCAAATGCAGATTGAATATAGTATGTTCCCATCCCAAATTCGTGACGACTGTTCTGAGAAATGAGTTTGTGCAACATTAGTGTTTTCAGTGACACAGACGCACACACACACGTAACTCCTCTTCAGAACATGTTGTTTGAATAACATGAAGCCATGTTGAGAAATGAAGGCAAATCCTGCATTGCTCAACAGCTACATTTAGTTTTGATTGTTTCCAAACTGATATCAGGATCTGCACAATTGGTCCCCCGGCCTTTTTTACAAGGCCATCAAAATACAAACGTTAGTATGAGTATAACCTGTGTGCCTTGGTTGTGACATTTATGTACATCAAACATAAATCTGGTTAGTATTTATTTTTTTCAATCATCATACTTTTGACCCAGTTTTACCGAATGTCTGTTCTGCCTATTTATTTGATATTTACTCTAGATCAGAAGAGTCTGCACTGACTTGCCGAATGCAACACATTTGTTTGCTCTATTGATTGCTGCAAATGATTACCAAGGTAGAAAACAAAACAAATAAACCCTTACCGGAATACTCTTTTTTTCCGTCACTGAATTATGAAACAAAGCCAGGTTTCATAGGCACATTGAACCGTTGAAACACTCATTGCATTCTATTTTTTTTTTTTTTTAACAAAAGCAACCTTTCAAAATAAAAAAAATATTTTTGTGTGATCGTTCACTATTGTGCGATCACTATTTGTGTGATCGTTCTTTTGCTAAATAATTTCAATGATTCATTGAGTTTATTCTGCAATATAAATCCCAGTTATACATGTAATGATAAAAGGAAGACATCCTCATGTTTTCATGGGGTTCTTTTGGGGATCGGGAGTGTCGTATAAGGTGTTCTTTATGTGGTCACTTCCTCTTTTTTCTTGTCCCGTTGAGCCTGAGATTGTATTTGGAGGCTGGAACGGATTTACGTAAATCATTGCGCAATCTTATTTTTTGCCTGTGGAATCCACAGCTCTCTCTCTGTCTATAATAGTGTTTCATTCTCCAGTTTCTACTTCTGTTTGGCGGTTCAGGGTTATGAAGATAAAATGCATTTAATAACCGGAAGCTGTGTCCTGGTTTTGTGGATGTATACACTGACCCTTGTGAAAAGTCAAGGTAAGACCAAGTAGTTCAATCAATTAGTAGGGTCCCTTTTATCCTGTTTAATTTGTGGCTTGATGTTTTGTTGGTGGTGGGGTGGGGGGGGGGGCTAAATAATGCAAAATGATTTTTACTTATTTCTGTTTTTCACTGTCCCATAGACTGTACACGTGAACAGTTTCTTAATGACAAGCTGTTTGATCCAAATTTCGACACAACTGATCTGGAGGCCACCTACCCTAGTGGAACACAAGTGAGAGTGGGCTGCAATGTTGGCCACAGTGGCTTTTTCAGACTGTTATGTGTCAAAGGAAAATGGACATCAAGAGACAGCCCGTGTCAACGTGAGTTACAGTATTTCATTGTTTGGAAATAAATAATCTTCCATTAAAAACACATAGGCTACGATACTTGTGTACATATTCAACATGTAATGCTGTATATGTTCTGTCAAGGCTCAACTTTAATGTATTATTATTAAATGTATGTTATACGATATAACGATAAAATATCGTACTGCATATTATTGAATGGAGGTCCACCTGTATCATCACTGTATTGTGAGCCTTAGAAATATATTTACCCACATTCTCTTTCATTCTTATGTTTTAAGCGAGATCATGTGGCCATCCCGGGGAGGCCCCGTTTGCAGATTTTCATCTGGAAAAGGGAGACGATTTTGTCTTTGGGTCACAAGTTTTGTACACCTGCAATAAAGGGTATGAAAATATGTATAAATACAATTGTATACTGTTAATTTGTATGTTTACTTATATCTTTGTGCTTTGCTTTGTACATAGTATTCTGTATCACTATATTGCGCATAACAAAAGGTGCAGTTTAAGTTTGACTATTAATAAGCCATTTCCATTATCCATGTTCTACATAATACTCCTTTCAGTTATCAAATGGTCAGTCGCACAAAATACCGGCGTTGCATGTCTGAAGGCTGGGATGGTGTGGTTCCTGTCTGTGAAGGTAAAGCTGAAATAAAGGATCATATTTGTTCAGTACCTTACATACGAGGGGAAATGTCACTGTGTCAGGGAATATTGAAAAACTGTATTTCTTACGTGCTTTTTAAACGTTTGAAAGTTTTTTGGTCATCCAATTTGTGATTTATTTGTTTTCCTTCCAGCCCAACAGTGCCCAGTGATTCACGTGGAACAGAATGTCCAGGTGATTGGGGACCCAGAGGAAGCAACCTATGGCAATGTAGTTCAATTCAGCTGCAAGTCCCGCACTGAAATCCTGTCTGGGTCACAAGAAATGTATTGTGATGAAAATGGAGAATGGCGTGGACAAATTCCTACATGCAAAGGTACAGCAGGCTTTCCAAAATTACTTCCTTTTTAGTAAAAGGGTGAAAGTATAGGCAAAGGGGAAGACAGGAACACACAAATACAAACATAACCCACCATGGGATGTGCCGGGCCAATTACAAAGACCGCAGACTCTTCGCATTTCTCTTTTTTGTGCCTCCTTGTCTCCTCTCTGTTCCGCCCTTTTGTCTGTGATTCGGAAATCAACTTCATCTTGAAGGATGTTTCGATTCCTAAAATACATCGCGAGGAAAGAGGAGGACCGTGGGTGCACAGGTGTATCCTTTGCAGAAGTCTTATCAGCACCTGTATAAAAGGTCAACTAACGTAATCCAGGAGAAAATAATTTTCCTACAAAATGTAATTGGCAATGTAATTTTGTTAAACGGGAGACCAGGATGAAGGGGCATGCCAATGGACAGATGTTGCAGCTGCCAATGTCATATTGAATTGGTGTTGCTTTAAAATGACACGCAAAACATTTTGATTAATACCGGTGTCGCCTCGACTCCTCTCTCCTCTGGTGGGAGGACTAAGGCACGAGGAGAGGAGGCAAGGAATGGAATTGAAGATGTACAAACTGAACATTTTTGCTGAGAGAAGAATAATAAACTGCACTGATGTTTGCTGTACTTTCGACTGGTTTTAACAAAAGTTTAATATAACAACTCATAATATAGCAGCTCAACTCTCCCGGCTGTCGTCCGTCACTTGGGCATCATCGTTTTTCTACCTACTTTGCACCACGTCTCGCCCTTATGTGCTGTGATTGGCTGTTACTATTACTGTGACGAACACCGACCTGGTCACTGGTCACTCAGCGCTACATCACATGTTGATAACCTGCTGATAGCTCCACTTTGAAAAAATAAAATGAACTGAGAGGTTCCAGACTAATCTGCATTTGGGATTTGATCTGGCGATATGAGAATGTGAATTACTGTGCATCCCCTTTTTATGAAAAAACATATATATATTTTTTTCCAACAGAGATAACTTGTGCAGTACCCGAGATTGAAAATGGTTTTGTGCCTGGAGATATTCCAGAGTACAAAGAAGAGGAGGTCCTGCACTTTCGTTGTGATGCTAGATATAAACCCACTGTAGGCAGACCTTCAAAATGCATCAAACATGGAATTAGAGCAGAGTGGAGCCCCACACCTGCATGTGAACGTAAGTATAAAGTGAGTCATCCAGTTTGATGGTTATATCACACTGACAAGAGCAAATTGGTGCTAACAGATAATATGCTTAATTTCCCAACAAATGAAGCAATAAGATGTAGACTGACACTGCCGCCACAGAAGGGAACCAGGTATCAATCTCCTTCCAGAAATGTGTTTCTACCTGGTGACACAGTGAGAGTCATGTGTGGAGATAAGTACTGGATTTCACACCCTTGGGGTACCTCAGTAGTGACTACATGCAAAGAGGATGGAGAATGGACTTTCCACCCAGTGTGCCAAGGTATAAAACTACACGGCTTAGTGCCAGACACAGATTATGAGATTGCTGTTCTTTATTGTGTGTGTGTATGGTTCATTAATTTGTGATGAAGATGATGATCAATCTTATCTTTATTACTTAAGTTACGCAAGTCTTTCTCTTCTTCTAGAGGTTGTATGCAGTAATCAAAGACCACAGCATGTGTATCACTGGAGTGTTGAATGGCGCCAACGAATGACATTGGGTGAGACTGCAACATATTTGTGTGGGACGGGCTACAAGAAGACAGATGGTGCCACCTCGGCCAAATGCACCAGAGATGGATGGAATCCAAATCCACTTTGTCAAGGTATTGTGAAGTTTTAACTATGACATTACTGGTAATTTTGTATCCATATTTGGGAAAGCGGGGAAGGAGCTTTTGGTCCAGTTAGGATTTATTTATTTATTTAAAACCCTTGTGTTGTCCTCCCGACTGCCATACACCTGTTGTCCTCTGGGGTCAAAAATGGCCCCACCTGGTTTGACTTTTTTTAAAGCATACAGTATAAATTGTCAATCAATTCTGTTTTACACCTTTAGTCTTACTTCAGTCCAACACATTACCACAAATCGTTCCCTTCATTTTGGAATTTAGGGCCAATAGACCTTGTTTACATAAAAGTAGACCCTGTTTTTGAGTGAAAATACAATGAAACAATGAATTATTTTGACTTTATATTATTTTTTACTATTTGACTTATCACAGAGAGGTACATATCAAAGTTTTAGTGAGGATGCTGTTCTTGAATCATTTGAATTTTCTAAGCACATAATCACACCTGTTGTCAGGTTTGACTGTTTATAAAGCATACAGTATAAATTATCACCCACCTCTGTGTTTCAACTCCTTAGTCAACTTTATTCCAAGTCATTACCTGACATATAAAACATGTCAACATTCATTTCTGCAACATTTAAAACATTTATTTACCGTAATTGCTGTCTTCCACCAAAAATCGTAGGAACTAAGATCTGGAACTAAATCAGGAACTAAAAGTTCCTTCTCCAAGTTATGCAGTTACTTCAATATACTATTAATCTGCCTCGGTCCCAGTCTATGGTGCTCATTGCAACAGTTATCAGCCTTTTTCCAGAGAAAATCAAGCAATGCTGCTCTGTAGACCAGAGGTCTTCAACAGGGGGTCCGCAAAATTTTTGGTTGATTAGACAATTAAAAAAAAAAAAAAAAAAAGTTTTGTTTTTTTCTCTAAACATGAATCTGTCATTATTTTAATAGTTCAGTATTGTATGCAATATAACAGTTGTGTTTATGCATGGCAGTGGCACTAATAGGCCATCACTCATTTTTCGTTTCCACATTTATGTTTAAAATGAAAACATCAATTTGAATAGCTTGTTTGCATGATTATCATGCAATTGACAGACAATGTTGATATTGGCATTGGT